ATTGTTTTGTTTCGGGGGACATATGGGTTGTATCCATAGCCATGGTTTCCCGATCATTTTTTTCAATCTTTCCTTGGCGTACATACTCCCTTTCTTTTGCATATTCTACTTCCATTGCCCTATCGTACTCTTGTTGTTTCATATCCATTTCAATTCTCATGGCTTGCATCTTTGAAAGCTCCTCCAAATATTTAGATGTATTCTTGGTAGAATTACTCTCTCTCTCTTCGCCTTCGCCGCCTTCCTCCCAATAGGCCTCGGCTCTTTCGATAGGTGAGTCTTGACTCATCGGGGAATCCATAGGTGAATCCGATCTCAGTGTCTCATGGAGTGGCATCTCGTTCAACACTATCGTTGGACCCGTTGGAATAATTTGGAATCTCTTACAATTCTTCACCACCTCCCAACATAGGGTATGGTTGAAACTTTTTTTCCCTTGCCCAGTAGCACCAAAAAAAAATTTGTGCTTGCATAATCTATACCAAAAAACAAAAAAAAACAAAAAAAAAACAAGGAAAGGCAAGAAACTTTAAAAAATATTGGCAATGCAACAAGTATAAAAAAAAAAAATGGAAACACAAGAAACTTTAAATAATATTGGCAATGCAACAAGAAAAAAAAAAGGAAATACAAGAAACTAACAAAAATATTGGCAATGCAACAAGTATTAAAAAAATTAATGGAAACGCAAGAAACTTTAACCATTTATTAGAAATGCAAAACAAAATATAAATATTGCAAGAAACATTCATATTAATATTGGAAATACAAGAAATATTAACATAATATATAAATTGCAAGAAACATTTAAATAAAATTTAATATGACATAGAAATTAATAAAACAAAAAATTACAAATAATTTACCTCACTACTAAGGTTTTCCCCGCTTCTATGGTTGTTCATCGCTTTTATCAAGGCATCTCTCCATTTTCCCAGCACAACTTGAAAGTGAAAAATAATTGAGTAGAAAGTGAAAAATAGTAGAAGGAGAAGAAAATGTATGAGGAGTTGGTGTTAAAAGTGAAGATTATTGGTTGGTATTTATAGAAAAAAAAATCAGTATTTTTTCGTATTTTTTTAAATTTTTTCTGATTTTTTTTCATTTTTTTATTGGGCAAAAAATTGTCTGCCGTTGGATTGTTGGAAAAAAATGATCGGAGAGCCCAGGAGCTTCCACGTGGCATAGAGCTGTTGGGGGTTGCTTTTTCGATTTTTTTATTCGCGAAAAAATGACTGCTGTTGGATATGTTTAAAAAGCTGATCGGATGACCCAGCAGCAAACACGTGGAAGAGAGCCATTAGCACAGCCCGCGGGCTGGAGCTCGGGCCAGCCTCCCCCTCGGGCCAGCCCAGGGATGTGGGCCCCACTGCTTGACCTGGAGATCGCCAGACTGCCACCAATCAATTCTTTTTCTGAAGAAGTCTCGCAATTGGCCGAAGACAAAGAGCAAGCCGTAGCCACAGGAAGAAAAATTAGTATAAATGAATTGCAATCTTAGCGGCAGTTACAGAATCAGAGGTGACCCACTGGGGAAATGGGTACTGAACAGCTTCAACAAATATTTCATTAAAGGAATATTGATGATGACCCATAAATAATTGTCTTCTTTAATTGATTTTCATTTGAGAAGTAATTAATTTAGCTTGTTGGCATTGGGAACCAGCTCCTGCAGAGCTTCATTTTCTCTGCAATTCTCTCTCTCCATAAGTACTGCAATAGCACCACCCCACAAGTAACCAAAACCCATGTCAGTCAGAAGAAATAACAAACAAACCAAGAATTACAGCCCAAAACGTACTCTCTCAGCCATGTTGTGTGGGTCAGTGGCTTGGCCTCTCCTCGCCCTGACTTTGGGTCAGGGTTGTGCGGGTGCACCCCGCCCCCTGCCAAGCCCCCCCCGACATTGCCGCCTCTAGAGAGAGGGTGTCTCTACTTGTATTGTGAGAGTTATTTATAGTTGTATTTGTAATTTTGGGCATTGTATTTCATGCCTGATTTGCTCAAGTATGTGACTGTTACGTTAAAATGTATTTGGTCTTTTAGGGTTATTGGAGGAGATACAAGCTATGATTTATCGTTGGTGTATTTTCCTATATTTGGATTAACTATTTGTGATTACTATACATCCATCTTTTTACCTTTATGTGCATTTGATCTTTGTGTCCAATTATTAAATACAATTATCACTAATTTTCAACCAATAAAAAAAGATATCGAAACATAATTCAAGGAAAAGATTAGAGGATTTCTTTGAAAGTTTGATTTTAATGTTTGTGTTGAATAATTTTATGCTGTAATTCCAATTTCGAGAATTCCGAAAGTTCCAGTTCCTTTCGTGTAGTTATCTTCGGAAAGTTACACTTCCTTTCACTTGCATGACTTTCAAGCCACCCACCAAGTCCACAGCTTTAAGACAATATTTTTTTGGATGATATAGTGGGGGTGAAAACCCTAAAAACCAAAAACCAAAGACAATATTTTTGCTTTTTAAAACAATTCCTCTCCCAATAAATATTTTTGCTTTTAGGCCCCGTTTGGTTCATGAGCAAGGAGACTTGGAGATGAGAAATCAATTACTTTCTCATATTTGGTAAGTCTAGACATGAGAAATCGTTGCCTGGCCCATGAGAAAGTAAGAGGGAAAATGAAGTCATCCTTCCAACTTGGGTTTTGTTTTCCCTTCTCATGGGAAAGTTTGGGGAAATGAACCAATATTAAATACATATTTTTCATGACCATTTTGTCCCCATTAACAATTTAAAATTACAATATATCATTAAATGCATTTTTTTTAAATTTAATATGGGTATAATTGAAAATTTATACAAACTTTGTTTTTCATTCATACTCAAAACAAATATGGGAAAGGAAATAAAGTGTTATCTCCTGATTACTTTCCCAGCATTACCAAACTTGGGAAAGAAATCTTCCATTTCTCATCTCTTGGGAAATGACATAGGAAATCATTTTCCCTCAAATTCATTTCGTAAACCAAACGGAGCCTTAAGATTATTGGTGAGATACAAGCTGTGATATGTCACCGATGTATTTTCCTATATTTGGATTAACCATTTGTGATTACTGTGCATCCATCTTTATACCTTTATGTGTATTTTATCTTTGTGTCCAATTACTAAATACAATTATCACTAATTTTCAAAAAAAGAAAAAAGGATATCGAAACATAATTCAAGGGCAAGATTAGAGGATTTCTTTGAAATTTTGATTTTAATGTTTGTGTTGAATAATTTTATGCTCTAATTTCAATTTCGAGAATTCCAAAAGTTCCAGTTCCTTTCGTGTAGTTATCTTCGGAAAGTTCCACTTCCTTTCGCTTGCATGACTTTCAAGCCACCCACCAAGTCCACAGCTTTAAGTCAATATTTTTTGGATGATATAGTGGGGTGAAAACCCCAAAAACCAAAAACCAAAGACAATATTTTGCTTTTTAAAACAGTTCCTCTCCCCATAAATATGATTAAGCCACCCTAAGTCAATATTTTTGTTTTTTAAAACAGTTCTGCAGCAGGGACAGGCATAGAAAGTAGGATCGAGCTCAATGGTTCAGTTGGGGAGTTGTTGATTAACGCAGCAAAAGGTATAATCTGTCTAATTTTATATTACTTTTACAGTTTTTATCTAATTCATCAGAAAAAAATTAGATTGATTTAATTAGATTAAAATATGATTTTTTTTTTTTTTTTTTTTGGGAATTTATACACTTACTTTTTTCAAACAAATCCGGAAAAATTGTTATTTCTAAAGAGAAAATGAAGCTAGACTTATTAACGGGACATATTTGGCCTAGGATTACTACGAAAGGGAAAAGCACCTTGTTTTCTCAAAATTGTTAGATATATAGAGAGCTTTAATTAAGAGATTTCTATGTCAAATTGAGTTTACATCTTGATAAGGTAGAAGAAATAATTTGCTGCGAAAGTATTAAACAAATCGATGGAATTCCCAAAGTGATATTTTTTAAGCAAATTTTACTATCATATCGTAGTGAAATATCAATTATACCAATTTATAATTGATGCTATTTTCTGCGTTTTTTTTTCCAGGAAATTGATTCACCTGAGTTTCTTGTATCATTCGAACTCAATTAACAACACAAAGAGGTATGATCCTTTAGAGAACAGAAGATTCTGTTCAAGTAAGGTCGTCACATCTTTCCTTTTTCTTTTTCTTTTTTGTTATACTTTCTCCACTTTCTTTGTTGGGAGTCTTTGGCTCCTGATTGGCTTGTTTCTGTCTTAGATGCAGATGTATGTACTTCCTATTTTCAATCAATAAAAACATCCTTATATCGTTTGGAAAGAAAAAAAAAATAGAGAAATAAGAAAAGCTGGACCTAGCATGTTAAAATTGGATTTTATTATTATTATTGGAGACACAGAGATATGATTTGGGGTGGGCGTGAGTTGGGTTGGGTCAGTTTTGCTCACAACTAGGAATCCTATCTGATATAGAGTAGTTTATGATTTTTTAGACCCAAGACCCACACATTATTAGGTCAATCCAACCCTTTGTGTTTGGGTTAGACAGTTCAGTCGGGTTAACTCAAAATTAAGCTTACTTTTTAGTTTTGATTCCAATTCATAACCCAAATCATATAAAGCGGTTTATGAATTTTTAAACCCAAGACCTGCTTATTATTAGGCCAATCCAACCTAACTCAACCCTCTAATGATCAAGTTGGACGGTTCGGTCAGGTTGACCTGAAATTGTGCCTTGGTCAAGTAAGGTCCTTACATCTTTTTTTTTTTTGTTATGCTACTTGCACAGTGCTTTTCCTATGAAATAAATGGTTAATTTTAGCTTGGTACTCTGCAATTGTTTACTCAAGGCATATTATTATATAAATTTTAACAATAAGGCACCCCACATTGAAAATTTGTTGCCCGTTAGTATGATAGTCAGAAAATCCATTACGTGATGAGGGTCAGGTCCACTTTTGAAGGAAAAAATGACAGAAATTGAGAAAGAAAGTTACTGTAAAACTTGTGGAGAAGATTAGAGAATTTATTGTTTCTAATTATCTGGGGCTGGAATTTCTTGTTAAGTTCATGAATTTTGGACTGGAAAATGCTTTTGATTTAATATTAATTCGGTATGGATTTGTCTTTACAGAAACTGAACAGGTGTTGTAGCAAAAATGAGGTTGAAGAGAGTGAGAGAGTTAACCAGCAAGCTCCTTGGAAACATTAGCGATAAAGATGCAGGATTGCTTAGAGCACATGAGGAGGATTGCAAGCATGATGAAGACATGCAATCCTTTGACACCAACCTCAAAGCACGTACGACAGAAGTGATCAGCAGCCTTGCGAGTAGCGGAGCTATTTCAACGGAATACTTGAAAGATGTCGTACATTATGTGAGGGTGTGGAACCAGACGACTGTGGACTCAATCTTGCAATTGGAAAAGGATATCAGAGGCGAGGGCACGAAAAGGGTCAAGGGCAAGCAGAGTAAGAAAAGCAAGAGGAAAAACAGCAGATTTCAGAGCGTTGTGGACGAGTACGTAGACAATAGCAGGGGGATGCTGGATTTATTATCGGAATTGAACAAGTTTGTAAACTCAGCTTGCAACAGCCATTCGTCTATTGAAACTGTTGTTCAAGAATACTTTAACAAACAGGAAAACCCGGACGACAGTGGTACTAGTTCAACTACTCATGACCACTACAAGAGGATATCTGAGAAACTGAAGAATATCAAGGCCACTGCCCATAACAGTTATGCTGAAAGCTTGCTCCAGAAGGTTCAACCTTTGATCACGATGCATCAACAATTGCTTGAGAATTTGACAGTCCAGAAAGAGAAGCTTGTCAAGAAACAGCAGACTGCTCGTGCTTGGAGGAAAGCCACGAATATGTTATTCATAAGTTCTGTGGCTGCGATGTTACTCTGGTCTGTGGCAGCAGCAGTTTTAGCTTCTCCAAAGACTGTAGCAATAGCAGCAGCTATTGCTGCTAGTACTGGGGCGTTAACGGAAGGACAACATTGGATTGTCTCTCGGTTAAAAAAATGGGAAAATGATTTAAAGAAAGAAGAGAATCGAGTTGACGAAATGCATGACAACACTAGACTTGCCCTTACGGAGTTGAACAATATTAATAAGGCTGAGATTGATGTACTCTTGGGCCAACCAGACTTTGCAATTGCTGAGGAACAAATAAATGTCACAATGAAGAATATTCAGAAGAAGTTGGAGCCATTTAAAGAGAAAATTAAGAGATTGAGAGGCGAAGTCGACAAGTGCAGCACCGAACTAATAAAGACAAGGGATGAAGTTGCAAAGGCTGGATCAGCTCTGATATAAGATATAATATTTCCTTATTTGATTTGAATTTGAATTTTGCTTGTAAAATATTCTTCCATGTGAGAAGAAATATTCGCATTGAACTCCTTATCCACTAAGATTCGTAATTGCTAAATTCAAGTGTGTTTTATAAAACATATAGTGCTCGTTTGTCACGCAGAACTATCTTAGTATTGACTATGCTTAAGTATTGTTATGGATTGACTTGGCTTGGACTAAGCTTAATAAGGCTTGTCCTGCATTTGGTATAGTGCTGGACTGGGACTGAGACTTGAATAAAAATATGCTTATTTAATTAATTAAAAATAATTAAAAATATAAAAAACTAATAAAAATAATTTTTTTATTTAACCCAAAGCCACAAGGCAAGGGAAGCAAGAGTTCCCCAAAAAACCATTAACACCATCTGACAAGACCCGACCCAAATTCTACTTTGGAATTCGAGCCGAACCATGTGCGTGTCTGACACCTGGAGGGTGCTAGGCGTAAATGACCGTATTGCCCTTCTAACTAAAAAACCACTTTATTCTAAATTTACTTCTGCTAAAAATTCGGCAAAGTTTCCCCTGTAATTTGCTCATTTCCCAAAATTTCCACATGTCAACAAACATTTAAATAACTCAATCATTCAACATGCATTCAATTATATCCAAACAAATCAAGCATCATATTATTCTGGTCTCATGTCGCAACAAATCAAATAAATAAATCTGTTAATAAAATTCTTCTCAACTTTCAGAACAACAATAATACATTGGTAATCTCAAACATTCTAATTCGTGGTTGCGCCTTGTAACCATAGGCTGCCTACGTACCCTTACTGAGGGATCAAGCCACACGTAATTCTTGTATTTAATCTCAACTTCCTGTTCCAAGCTTCCTAGCATTACTCACTTGGCAATATATAATTAAATGAATGAATAAAAGCATTTAAATTCGGGTAATCACACTTGGAGAACCATCACTACCCATTTCCTCGTGACACCATTGGTGACACGTCTTGCCCTGTAATCCTCGTTGGACTCAGGAGACATCTGGTTAACCTGATCTACAATCCTCTCTCCCACGGTCCGGATATCTCTAAGACTCGTGGGGCAAAATATGCTAGAAATACTTGACTCGCATGGAAGCTCGTCAAAACGCTTGAAAAGTTCAAAGCAGGAGAATTTGATGATAGTTTGTCACGACTCGAAAGTTAGGTAACAGTATAACTACAACTTGGGCAAGAAATGAGAACAATCACAACTTGAATGTCACGCTAGTTGGAAGTAGTACCACCATTTGGCATAGAAACAAAAATAATATGTGTGAAATTTCCTCAGAGTTGTCAATTCGAGATTTTAAAAAACTACAGGAATCTTTGAAGGCGTGTTTGAAATATTGTACATGTTGTGTTTAAAGAAAGTTGGTGTTTTCTTCTTGTCTTGATCTTCTTCATATAGTTGTTGGCTGACCTAATTTCTTGATGGCCAAGATTACTTGGCATACAATGCTTCTGATTCCATAATAATTCCCAGTTTAGCTCCATGAAGATCCTTGAGAAATCATAAAAATTTCATATAGAAATGCTGCTACTAGCTAAAACAACAGTAAGCAAATCTATGTGGGTGATGCAGATCTTCCCTCCTTTTTTTTCAAAGGATGTAATTAAGGAAAATAGCTCTAAATCTTTCATACTTCAATTTTTTAGATTGGGGCATTCCAGGGTTCACTCCTCAAGAATTAGAACGAAGCCCCGTGTTTTCTGAAAATGCGAAAAATACATACAAAGTCGTTTTCAATTTAACTGCAATTTAACACATTGTGATGTTTAAAAAAAAAATAATAATATCTTGTGTTTTCTACAGCCAACCCATCGAACTAATATATGTGTGTTCTTGTTCTCAGAAAACGGAAAACACATTTGAAAAACGATATGGAACGGGTTCTAATATATCCTTTTTGAATTAGTCTCTTATAATTGTATTGCATGAGCATGTCATTATTAGTGCTATTATTAATAGACCAATAGAAAGATGAATTTATTATAAGATGCACTTCAAACAAACTGATTCCCAATCAAACTACTGTGCTCTAAGTGGAGAACTGGCTCATATTGGTTTTTTTCTATACCTCAACACAATTAAGGACTTTATTATTTTCCTAGTACAAAAACTAAAATAAAAGGAAAGCAAAATAAAGCAACAAAAGCGTGCCAAAACAAAGGGGTATGGCTGGAATCAAGACTATCACCACTTTAACTCGCCTCAGATCGCCTGGAAGCTTGTTAGAATGCCTGGAAAGTTCGAAGTTGGAGAACTTGATGACAGTTTGTCAGGACTCGAAAGTTAGTCAGCAAGATAACTACAACTTGGGCAAGAAATGAGAACAATCACAACTTGAATGTCACGCTAGTTGGAATTAGTACCACCATTTGGCATAGAAACAAAAATAATATGTGGGAAATTTCCTAGGAGTTGTCAATTCGAGATTTTAAAAGACTACGGGAATCTTTGAAATATTGTAGATGAGATGTTGTGTTTAAAGAAAGTTGGTATATCCAGTCAAAGTCGTTGCTCATTGGGTTACTTTCGTTCTGTTTCCAGTCACCCACGAGATTAGAACTTGTAGAAGGTGCCAAGTCAATGGCTTTAAGTCAATGCTTGTGCTTTTAAAATAGCTAGTTGGGGAGAAAGGCAGAGCAAAAGGCAGAGCAAAAGCTTGATCAATAGTGTTGGGGAGAAGGGCAGCTAAAGGTAATTTCTGTCTGCTTTTATATTATTGGGCTCATCCGATATGATTATACTTAAAATATGAATTTAATTTTTTTTCATATTCATGTTTTTTCTTCTTCTTGAATTTATGCACTTTATTTTTATTAAATAAAACGGGAAAAATCTTTCTTTCTAAAGAGAAAAAGAAGTTAGACTTATTATCCAGAAAGCTTAATCTATAGCTTTGTTTCTCAAAGTTGTCATACTAAATAGATATTTTTACAATTTATACTTGATGCTATTTCCTGTAATTTCTTTTTTTCCTTTCACGAAATTGATTCACCGGAGTTTCTTGTATCATTTGAACTTAATTTTAAAAAACACACACACACACACACACAAAGAGGTATGATCCTGTTCAACTAAGGTCGTCACATCTTTCCTTTTTTCGTTACTTTTCCTTTCTAACAACTTGACGACAATAAGAGCATGTCCAGCGCTGCTGGCTTGCCCAGGCAGGAGGGGGCCTAGGACCAGCTTTTGTCTCCAGCGCACACTAAGTATAAAAAATATATAATAGATTAAAATGAATACTAATTGCCCTTGCCTTTGCCATTTGGGGTGGAACTTAAAAAGGCAAGGCTGACACTATTCACTTGAATAGTGTCAAACCTTGCCTTACCTTTGCCTTGCCCTTGCCTTTTGGGGTTGGAGGTACTCTAATCGTAGGGGTGTACGTCAGAAATCAGTACAATTTAGTCAATCTGCATTTGATCCAATAGAGATTGGATTGTGATTGTTTCAATCCGATCTAACCATATTAAATGTTTACATCCAATCTAATCTGATCCATGATATTGGATTGGATTGGATTAGATGACTGGTTTTGATAATTAAAAAATATATATTAAATATTTATCCTTAGGTTTAATCTAATCAAATAAATTAATAGACATAAACGTAAAATATAAATGAAATTCTAGAATAATTTATTTTGATTATATATTATATTAAACATAACTCTATTAAATGACTTAAAATTTTCATAACCTTTCCAAGTACAAATGCTTATAAGAGGAAAATAAGCATAAAACTAACTAGATTGGATGTGATTGGATTTGATTGGATTCTCATAAGCAAATCCGTCATCCGATCCAATTATGTCGGTTTTGAAAATTACGGATCCAATTCAATCCACCAAATCATCAAAATTGATTGAAATTGGATTGGATCGGTCAGTTTGGGGGGATTGTATTGGATTTTGTACACCCTAATTAAGAGTATATATTCTCTTAGGACTATGTCAACTAAAAGTAAAGGAATATCCATCTCCTCACTTAGAAGGGAAACAAAAACATCGATTTAATTATAGTCTTTTTTGTTTTACTAGTTTCTATTTATGTGTACTTCTCACTAGGGTATTTTATTTTATCAATGAAATTCACTTGTACCGTCGAGTTTTATATTTTCTTAAAATATTTGTACGTAAAGTAAATTTAGCTCACACGGTTTTCAAATTCTGGATCCATCATAAGGAATGAGGTTTTTCACACACACACAACCAAGGTACCATGGGGTTCAAACTTGAGACATCTAGTCTACAAGTCAATGTCATTTTCCATTGGGTTAGACCTTGACTATGGGAGTGGAAACATGAATGCAGATTTGACACATTTTGTCCTATATGTCAAATTGGGTTTAACTTAGAAATTGTATTATTGTTGGGTTATTTTTTAGAATTTTTGAGTTGTATGGACACATTTGATCCTAGCGCTTGTCAATAGGATTTCAGAAAGTTCAGTAGAATTTGTCCGTCATTTTTAGGTTTTTGTTGTTGTCAAACTTTGTCTTTTTTAGGTTAAAAGATTGTAAATTTACTTAGTTATCATAATTTAATTAGTGTTTTCTTTCATAACATTTTGATTAGATTCGCCTGTTATATATTAAAGATTAATTCTCAACACAGATAGAAGCGCTCCAGGCCCTGTAGGGTTTTGCCGGTGTTTTCGCAACAATGGGAAACATTTGCGGCAACAATGCAGACTGTTTTAAGCATGATGAAGACATACGATCCTTTGAGACCGAAGTCAAAGGTAAAGCGATACAAATGTTCGACAGCTTGAACAGTAGTGGATCTTTTCCAACTGATTTATGTAATTATTACGTGCTGCATGTGAGGGATTGGAACCAGAAGAGTGGGGAATTAGTCTTCATACTGCAAAAGGATATCGAAGGGGTGAAGGGCAAGCAGAGTAAGAGGAGGAGGAAGAAAAACCTCAGATTTCAGAAAGTTGTGGACGAGTTCGTAGACAATAGCCGGGAGATGCTGGATTTATTATCTGAATTGGAAAAGTTTATAAAATCAGCTGACAAAACCCATAAGTCTATTGAAGCTGTGGTTAGAGAATACTTTGATAAACAGGGAAACCCTACTGATGATCACTACAAGAGGATTGCTCAGAAACTGAAGGATCTCAAAGCCGGAACCAATACCGAGCATTTCACTAAAAGCGTACTCCCGAAAATTGAACGTTTGCTCAATATGCAAAGTGAACTGCTTAAGAAGTTGAACAGAGAGAAATTGAAGCTTGTCAAGAAGCAGCAGATCACGGGTTATTGGAAAAAGACCGTGGATATGCTATACATCGCTGGTGGGGCAGCGATGTGTCTTTGCGTGGTGGCGACCGCAGTTCTAGCTTCTCCTTCTGCTTTATCAATAGCAGCAATAACACTAGCTCTTGCTGCTGGTGCTGGAGTGGCATTTGCAGGACAGCAATGGACCTCCTCTTTTTGGAAAGAATATCAAGATCATTTAAAAGCTAAGGAGAGACTAGTTGACAAAATGCACGTAAGCAATAGGGCTGCAAGTAAAGGGTTGGGCAACATTAAGCACTACTGTGAGAGGGTTGCAGATGACATTAATTCACTCTTCGACCAACAGGACTTTGGAAATTCTGAGAAACAAATAAATAATGTCACAATGCAGGATATTCAGAACAAGTTGGAGCCATTTAAAGAGAAAATTAAGACATTGGAAGGCGAAGTCGACAAGTGCAGAACCGAACTAATGGAGACAAGGGATGAAGTTGCAAAGGCTGGATCAACAGCTCTGATTAAGATATAATATTTCCTCCTCCTTCTGTCATGAATGTGCTTTTTTTCTTTATTTTATGTTTATTTACTTTTGCTTTGGAATTGTGTGTCTTCCTGGTTTTGGGAGTTGTTTGCGGTTCTATATCTAGCTTAGTCTGATGGTCGTCTTGCAATAAGCGGAGTTCAACGCTAGTGTACGATTTAAACAGACAAAAAATTTGTGGTTATTGTTTAAATGGCTCATGATTTATTTCTGCTCATAAGATGTTTGATAAAATGTCTAGCTCAAAAGTTATGCATTTAAAAGAATTGCTCTCTTTCTTGAATCTAATCAAGTTTGGCGAACCATATAGCAATAGAATGCCAATGCTCATGTGCTTGTGCTTGGTTTGATGAAATCAGTTTCATGGTCCCATACAGGGAGGTTTTATTGCTAGTTCCTTGTTCATCATTTAGTCTCTTAGCCCTTGGAACAATGGCCCCGTTCAGTTATGAATTGATACCATTCATAACAAGTGCCTAAGTTTAATTCATAATGGTTACTAAATTATCATCAATCACGCTTGTCTTAGATGCAAGTCATCTCCAGTTACAAACTCTTTTTTTTTTTTTTTGGGGGCTCCTTTTATTGAAGGACAAATAGTGTGGAAGCAAATGTGCAAGTAGAGTTTTGTGTAGTCTCTTTGGTTTGGACTTTGCCCCTTATTTTACACCCCCAAAAAAAAAAAAAAAAAGGTGCAAGTACAGTCATTGCAAAAGGCCGAGTATTCCCTAAAGAGAATACTCGCACACATAGCACCAGATCCCATACTCTAACGATAATTATTGGGTTAAGTTGAATCCCATGACTGCACCAGTTTTGGTGGTGAGGAGGGGGGTGCGCAAGCTTGGGTGATGAGGGAGATCAGATGTGGGGTCAACTTAATAAAAACTTCAAAAGACAACAACAACAAAAACAAGGAAACTAGTTACCTCCTACACAAACTTTTTCATATGACATATATACCTTTAAAAATTATATGTATCGATTAGGGGTGGGCATCAACACCGGAAAACAGGAACTCTGAGTCGGACCAGATGAAAAAAAAAAAAAAAAAAAGAGGAAAAAAACTGGTTGATTAAACAAGTCACCAAACCGACATCGATTCCAATTCTAATTTCACACCTTACTAAATTGGACCGGACCAATTGTGTATATTTTTTTTTTTCAAAATTATTTAAATTCAATGCTATGTTTTTAATCTCATAACTAATATTTCTCCAAGCCCAACTTCAAAACATCTTTTTTTTAGGCCTAATATCTCTTTTTGCATGAAATTGGATCATTTCTAAATTTTCAAGCTCAAAAAATAAAATTTTAGTTGGAATTTATATAATATATTTTTTTGAAATAATTATAATAATTCGGTCCAAAATCAGAAAAATTGGAACCGATTCAAACCAAACCGGCCAATTTCATAACTTTTTTTTACTAAAATTGAATCGAACTAGACTAGTTAAATAATTCTGGTTCCAGTTTGAGGTTGAAACCGGATTGGACCGAGTCCACCCCTAGTATCGATACATCAAAGTAGTGAATTACTTGTGAGTCTGAACTTGCCAAGTCAAGACTGAGGGGTTCAACACAGTAGTAAGAACAGTTCCAGCAACAAGGGTGGGGCCGGGGGGGGGGGGTTTAGGCCCAAAAACTGTTTCCAACAACGAGGGCTAGCCCTAGCAGGAGATGGGTCCCACGAACCCAGGCTAGCCCTCATGCAAGATCTGCCTTAGTTCCAGCTCGAGTTTGTTGACGTCAGCGATAACGTTAGCAACAAAAAAAAATTAAAAAAATTGAAAAAAATCTACAAAAAATTTCAGATTTTTTTATATAAAATAAATACTTAGTTGTAGTTTTCACTTCCCACACCAAAACTCTATACAAATTTCTCTCCTCATATCTCATGTGAATAGTTGTTGCCATGGCAACCTTTTGCAAGGGCAGCAACTATTCACGTGAATAGTGGCTGCCCTAGCTCCCCTCTTGTCATGGCAAAGGGCAAATGGGTGGAATTACTCTTAGGTGCCTCCGTCTTACCCCACCCCCGGGCCTTCGTCACCTGTTCGAAACACCAAAATTGAAAAAGTGCTCCCCATTCCCCATATCGATGTACTAAAAAATAAACTTACCAAGTCACTTCTTAAATTTAATTGGTTGCACATGTGACATTTTCTCAACCGTTGGATGCTTTCAATGGATAGAATTAATAGATAGCGTAGCGAGATACCATTGTAATTTTTAACCATTCCGACTGGGACCAAGTATTATTCGTATACCTTCCTTATTCAATTACTAGTAGTCAGGCAGCACAGATTTCAGAACCTCCTAACCTTTTTTTGTACTGTGTATGTTCTCTAGCTAATATGTTGATAGCTGGACGCTCACTTAATTTTTTTTTTAATCTTAACTTAATACTATTAAGTAAAAAAATATAAAATTAGAAAAAATAACAAAAGCCCAGTAAGCAAGGGATGGCAACTGATCGGGTAGAAGCCGGGTATGACAATACCATCCCCGTCTCGGCTCTCCATCCCCACCCTTGTCCCCAAACCCATCCTCATTTAATAGGTTTCGAGGAATCCTCATTCTCGTTCCCGTCGGGCGACTATTCCCCATACCCGCCCCAAATCTTCAATTTTTTTTGCATAAAAAATATTTATAATACATTTTAACATGAGTGCCGCTAAACGAACCCTAAAATTAACTGAGTACACCATATTACCAAATTATTTATTGGATTACTAATGTACCCTAATATTAAATGACCAAAACAAAATATTAAATTGTGAAACAAATGTAATTTTAATAAGTAGTCTCTAATTTTAATAAGAAAAGACCACCAAAAGAAAGAAGTGGAGAATGAAATGGCGAACCATGAGGGAAACATGCAGACAAACACTTATCAACCTCCATTGAAATATAAGAGATTTGTAGAAAAGATGTTGAAACAACTTCCTTGTCCTAGAAGAGACCCACACAATTTAAAAGGAAGAAAACCAAGGGATAGCTACAAACTTAGTGCAGGAAACAAATGATGAACATTACAAGACAGCGGGCTATATCAATCAAAGAGAAGATTTAAATAAAAGTGCAACACCGCCAAATAGACCAGCATATCACTGGACGTATCAACTTGGGAAGAAAGCCCCAACAAGTCACTGACATATCAGAAATTTGTGACAGTGGTGTTGAAACGGCCAACATTATTCAACTTGACATTAGAATTAAGAATCAGGCAGCGTTCAAACTTGGTTCCTGCTTCAAGTGGAGAGTCACAAGAATTTACAAGAATCAAGCTTTGAATTGAAGGAGTTAGCAAATCTATTCTCATAGCAGCTTACGAAATTAAAGATTTTGATGCAAATCCAAAATCTGAAAAGAGGACACAAATTCATTTAAAAAGAGAAACCTCATTTAGGATTATGGTGTACCATGGGTATTTTTGGTAGTTAAATAAGGTGTACTTAGTTAGTTTTACATTTTGATTAAAATATTAGGGTGTACTTAGACTATAGGGTGTACTCGGTTAATTTTAAGGTTTGTTTAACAGCACTCTTTAACATTAAGTTTCATATTAAATTATCATTCAATGCATTCAAATTAACTATAAAGTTCAACTCAACTATTCAAAACCACATCAATATGAAATTCCAAAGAAGATTAGGAAATATTAGGAGAGGGATGTTAACTTAGGATTAAACAAAAATATTATAATTATATATGTATTTATTTAAATATAAACATATATATTTTCGCGTCGGGTTCGGGGATGGGGACTCCAATACCATCCATTCTCTATACCCGTAGGGGATTTTTCAAGTTCGGGGATCCACGTACCCGATACCCATTTGGCCCCGAAATCTCCTCCTATTAGGGTCGGAGACCTGACGAGGACCCACCCCCTGGGGATTTTTGTCATCCCTCAAACAACCACCAGCCACATATTTCTTTTAGGGGTGGGCATCAAAACCAAAATACAAACCATCCTGAAATCGTGTCAATCTCGTGCCGTCCTATTTGGTGTTGAAGTGTACACGGGATGATACCTTGTCATCCCGTTACTATTTGGCACGACATTGGTTCCAGATTTGTGATCCCGTTTGTTGTCATACCATATCGAACAGTACCAAGTAAATAATAAACCCCAAATTCAGATTCCTCCTCTCCCACGAACATTTCGACTCCAGCTTTGTTTCTTTCGTCTCCCTTCTCTTCTTCTTTCCTTCCCTCTCTCTCTCTCTCTCTCTCTCTCTCTCTCTCTTGCCTTCCCATTTCCTCAATTCGATCAACCAAACCATGACTAAGATATTCTTGGTTCTAGTACTTCTGCAAACTTTGTTCAACATTTTGGTTGTGGCTTCGGCTGGTAACCTCAACCAAGATTTTGACTTAACATGGGGTGACGGTCGAGCGCAAATACTCGACAACGGGCAGCTTCTTACGCTGTCCCTGGACAAGACTTCGGGGTCGGGTTTCCGGTCCAAGAATCAGTACTTGTTTGGGAAAATTGATATGCAGATCAAGCTTGTGCCTGGTAACTCTGCTGGTACTGTTACGGCTTACTATGTGAGTACTTCATCATGTATAATTTTCATCATGTATAATTTAGCTGCTTTCTTATTTCTAAGTTTTATATACGTAATACATCATATCCATATCATGCATGTCTAATGTTTTTTATATGTGTGAATTTTGCAGCTGTCCTCGTTGGGTTCTACTCATGACGAGATAGATTTTGAGTTTCTAGGCAACCTAAGCGGAGATCCTTATATTCTACACACAAATGTTTTCACACAAGGGAAGGGTAATAGGGAGCAACAATTCTATCTTTGGTTTGATCCCACCAAAGACTTCCACACCTACTCCATCTTGTGGAACCCTCAAAGCATCATGTAATTAAACTAAGCTCTCTCTCTCCCATTTTGACTTGATAAAACTATTTGTATCATATTTACTGATAACATGTCTCACTAAAAAAATATCTCGATGAGATTCAGTTATGTAGTTAGTAAATGAATTTCATCTTTGCGAGACATGTAATTGGTGATATAGTTAGTGAATATGGTACATATAACATAGGAAATATTCTCTTCAAAACATAAGATGATTATTTTGATAGTAAATATGAACCTCTGATCATGTTGAGTTTTTGTATGAATATTTACGGTCCATTTGTAGTCTGCCATTAGCCCATTTAGAATTACTCAAATATTTGTTTGTATGTATCCTAATAAACTTCTATGCTTTGTTCTTCTTGATTAATTAGATTCTCTGTGGATGGGACACCCATTAGACAGTTCAAGAACTTAGAATCGAAGG